TTTTTTTTTTTTTTTTTTTTAACTTTGGCTTAACTTATGCTTGTGAACAGCTACTTTCAGATCTGAATTATATCAAATCTGATACAAGAAACAGACTAACAGATAGCCTGAGTGCTGTCATGTGTTGCTCTCAAACTAATGAAGTACAAGCCTAGATTTGACAAATTATAAGCATGCGCACAACAGCAAAAATCACATTAATTATGTAAAAGCATGCCAAATGCAAATTTTTAACTTTCAATGAAAAGCTGTCTGTATCATTAAGAAGGGCTCTTTTTGTGTGTGTGGTACTGGGGATCAATCGAACTCAGGACCCTGAGCTTGTGAGGCAGGCATGGCACCACCTGGCTCACTGTCTGTATCACTGAAAGCTCTGCTACTGTGTTAATGTATGAGTTACTTTTTCTAAACTAAAACCTCAGTATTCAGGTTTAATTGCACTGTTGGCACTCTAATAAGTGAGTCTGGGTTGCAGTTCAGGTACTCAGTCTCTAAAAGGTTCACCATTACTGGCCTAGATCCAGCCAGCTCCAAAAAGCCTCACCTATGAGTGCAAGAGGTTTTTTGGGGAACATCCCAAAGCAATGTGGCCAAATGACCATAGACTAAAATCTTTGAAACCAGGAGCCAAAATAAACCTTTCCTCCCTTTATTTTGTGACAGTGATGGAAAGATGACTAATGGGTAATTTCAAATACTCCACGGGCTGTGCTGTCAAATACAGAAGGATTCGCCTAGTTTTAAAGAGCTAAGGTCTTTGAGCAGCTCACTATAGAGCTCTGTGCAGAGATGTTTTGAGATGGACCAGTCTCTCTACAGGTAGAGAGTGCCGACTGCCCTGTGGGTCTCCAACATGACTCAAGGCTCCATGTGACAGAGCCCTACAAAGCAGGTGGCACACTGCCAGCCACTAAACCCTAAGAAATGCTTCTCAAACTTTACTCATCACAGAATCCTCTGGAGAGCTTTTTAAACAATCATAACTTCCTAAGCTTGCTTTAGACTCTTTAGATGGGGGATCCAAATGAAACTGAGACATCTAGTCCCAAAATCCTATGATTCTACAATATGTGGATAGTTTTAAACATTCATCTTTACTATATTATTAAAACACAACAGGAAAAAGCCAGTTTACAGTCTTAATTTAGTTTCTTTACAAGTCTTTAAAAAAAAATACATGTATAGCCGGGCATGGTGGTACACGCCTGTAATCCCACCACTTGGGATGCTGAGGCAGGAGAATCGCTGTGAGTTCAAGAACAACCTGGGCTACATAGTGAGTTCCAGGTCAGTCTCAACTACATAGTGAGACCCTGTCTCAAAAAACCAAAAAAACCAAAAAATATGTATATACCACTTAATATAATTTTATGAAAAAATTAAAACACTAAAAAATATAAATACAGTATAGGATTAAAAATCTCATATGGTTTATGATAAATGATTATAGCACAACATTACTTTCATTTTAAAAGAATAGCTATAATGAATGTTTTTATTATTCAGAAATTACCACATCTTTCCTCTTAGAAGAAAAAAATAGGTTTCTCTTAATTTTGAATGCATTTGTGAATAAGGAAATACGGATACACATAAATCTGGGATACAAAAGGAAGTTTGCTGGTTTGATAAAGTCCCACGAGGACCAGCTAGTCGGATACCTTCTACTGGGCTATCTGGCACATCAGACTTTAACTGGTGAAAACCCAGTGTTCAGAGCAATCAGAAAACGAGCAGTGTAGTTTTAAATACTCAACAGTCATTTCTTATATAACTTAGATTTTTTCCTACAGTAAGTACATTAAATATTTTAAATAATTAAGATGGTTTGAATTGAAGAATGTCACTGATCAATGACACTTTCTTAGTCTCAGCAGTGGTTCCACACTTCCCCAGCAGGTGGCAGGTGTGCTGTGTCACACTTTCATTTTCTTTCTCACATTAACTGGGTTAGAGCTCATCATGTGTCAAAACTGTAGGGAAGGAAAGTTTATTTAGTTCTTGAAATCCAAGTAGGTATATATAGAAAAACAGGTATTGATCTTTTTGTTGGTTAATTCAGTACCTACAATGTTTCATTATATTGACGTGAGAATAGCTCTTTGTACATTCTGTTATCCATTATACTGTATCATAATTATTTGTCCTTTTATCCATATACAATGTGAACTCCTATGAGTCCTTGAGGCAAGGGCTACATATTATTTATCTTTGTTACCGCTACATCCAGATATGCCCACAAATACCATTTTTTGAAATAAAATCAGGACTATTAAAAATAATACAAGTAGGGCCGGGGATTTAGCTCAGCAGTTCGGTGGCCTGCCTTGCAAGAGCAAGGACCCGAGTTCAATTCCCAGCACCAAAAAAAAGTACAGGATTAAAAAACTTAGATAGTTTAAGACAAATAACTACAGGTGGTGGCCTAAAATACTGAAAGATCTAGGAGATTATTCAACATATTCAAAGTATGTCATTATACTGGAAACACGAAGATCAGAAGGCATATACAGCCCTCTAAGTTGAGAAGACAGAGCACTAAGACACAGATGTAAGTACCACACAAATGAAGGCTAAACGACCAAAATGGGATCCTCTCCTGTATATTATCAAACAGTTCTACTCTGTTTTAAGAGCCCTGAGAACTCAAAATGAAAATTTCAGGAAGAAATTAATTAAAATACAATTTAAACACATCCTGTTTTCCCAATTCAAGATGGCAGATAATGTTTTTTTCTTGATTAAATTCCACTAGAAAGATAATAGATATAAAAGGGATTAACACTCAAGAGATGAGGGAAGTGGTTATGAGACACTGTTAGACAGAGTTATTAATGAGCTTCTAGAGATGATACACAGATGACTTTCCTGAGGTGGGAGCCTGGAAGGCCTTCTGACAGAGGATACCGGTGGTAGCAGGCAGTCAGAGAAGCACTGAACTGAAGGGACGTTTGTGGGAAATCCATGCCCATCAGTTCCCATTCTCACTCTTCCATATCACAGAGAAATAGATCCTAGTATTTATTCCAAGATAAAAAGTAGTGGCCTTCCTTGAAAGAAAATGGGGACAGAAGGTAAGGAGAGGGGAAAGGAAGAAAGGAAGAGGAAAAGAGGGTGATGGGGAAAGGAGGGAAAGACAGAGATTTTTATATGGCTGTCCATGCTCTTAAGTACCCTCTTTGGGGCTGTGGGGTTGTACATGAGATGGGATTTGATGTGTTTGGTGACCATACATCTGTTGAGAAGCCTACTAGCTGTACACTATTTCCTCACACCTAGAGCTAATGATTAATCCTCTATTCAGGGAAGAAGTCTACTGGAGCAACAGACATATTTACATCAAAGCAGCGGAAACCCCTATTAGTTACCATTTTGGTCAATTTAATCTTTCATTCTTATATACAAACAGCCAAGAACCTCCAGGTATTTGAGAGCAAAAGGAGAAAGAACTGAAATGGATACAGAAAAGAGCTCACACTGGGGAACACTAGGGAGCAAGGTTCAAGACCAGCCAGGGCTACATACATAGTGACTTGAACTACATAGCAAGAATTTGTCTTAAAAAATCAAAAAGAGATATTTGAAAGGTCAATGAATTTGTAAAACAAGAACAGAGCTGAAATCAAAAGGAAGTCAGTAAAAAAAGATCTGTTGGTAATTAAGAAGTGTTAACCCTTCTTTAAAAATTTAAGAGTTGGGGTCTCTTCACCTACCTGCCTGCCTGAGATCATCCGGCGGGTGTGCGATCTCCCAGACTGCATGACACCAGACCCAGTAAGGAAGGTAGCTGCGCAGGTGCCCTTGAAACACCCCCACGACCCTCCCCCCCCGTTCTCAAACCTCCTGATTGGGCCAGTCCTTGGACCAACTCTGCAGAGGCATAGGCTCTCATAAAGGGTAGTTTTCTGAGCTCCCAACTTTGAACATCTTTAAAGAAAGGGCAGGGGAAACCTGTAATAGAACTGAGTGGAGTTCAACCCTGAGGGTTGGGAAGCTCAAGTTAGGCCTTGTGGACTGAGTTCAGTCTCAGTCGTGGGGAACTGCCATTGGCTAGCCGAGACCAGGGGATTCAGTTCTGCATATGGCTGTACATGTGGTATAATATGACAACAGAGACATAGTCTGAAAGAGGCCCTTCAAATTCTTTTTTTTTTCTCTTTTTTCTTTTCCTCATTCCACCCTAAAATTTCTTTCTTTTTTCTGTCCTCTCTCTCCAACTCAGCCTCTTGCTCCACCATAGTGTCCCTCATCTCCCTTTTTATTCCAGTTCCTGAATAACTCAGACTTCTTTTATTATTTTTTGTTTTTAGGAGGGGTTTCTCTTTATGTTCTTTTCTCCAGTCATTTTACCTCACTCATGGCTCTGTAGCTTCAAGGGAAGGCAAGTGCCTGTTACTGTTAAGGGGATATATTCCTGTCCTTATTCCTGCACTCTCTCTATCCCCCCTGAAGTTAATAGCTTTGTAAAGATAGTAAGGTAATTCTACATCCTCTGGATTCACTTCAAACCTGTTCCAATTCTTTCACTTATCTACTCCTCTCATCCTAACTCAGTCTAACCCCCCATCCTAAATGGTAAAGATGCTATATTGAAAAGCATATTCACTGCAAACATGTTATGGGCTGCTTCTTGATATTAATTTAATTCACATGGGTTAAAGGTGATACATTAATGACTACCACAAGTGGTCAGTCTGCAAGCTGTGCCTGATCCTATTGGGCTGCTGAATGTATCAATTGGGATAAAGGGTCGTGATCAATTTAAAGAGTTGTTTTCTCTGATATGAAAATGAGGATGTCTATGAGTCATTAGAAACTCAAAAGCTAAAATGCAACTATATCAGGAAGATTTAAGTAATACCCAGAAATTAAAGAAGGACAACCCAACAACAAAAATAAAAATGAGAAAACACTTAAGCAAGACACAAAGACAGATTTCCAGTTCACCAATGGCAAACAGTAGGACAAAATGAGGATGAAAAGTCTGATAGTGAACCAACAGGACACCTTGGACCCATAGCACAGGAGGTTACAAAACAGATCATTCAGGCTCTAGAAAAATTCAAATCAGAAATAATTTCCCAGTTAACCAGAGAGATGATGATCAAAATGGAAGTCATGATTCGAGACTCTAGAATAGAAACTGACAAAAAAATAGATGAGCTCAAGACCATGATAGAAGCCAT